AGTTAGAAGTGCATGCAAGTGAGAGTGAGTGGTTGGGATATTGAAAGACAAATATGTTAGGGAAGGTAGATAAGAAATAGGAAAGTCCTCCATACGTATTGGCATGATTTAAAAAAAAAAAGCTTGCATTGACGAAGAAAGTTTGTGGACTGCAAGCATTTTTATTTTTTAATTTAAAAGAAACCTAGAATTTCATTCCTAGAATTAATTAGGGATTGCAATTGATGATGGAAAAACTTTTTTTTCTTGAGAGTTTTAAGGTCATGGGGTTTCTTCGTTTAGAGGAATTAGAATTGGCGGCAAGACTTAAGGGAGATCAGGATAAAGAAAAGAGGAAAAAAGGAGAATTGAGAGAGAAAAAAAGAAAAGGGAAGAAAGGAAAATAAAGGAAAGGAAAGGAAAGAAGAGAAAGAGAAAGAGAGGGGGAAAGGCAAACAAAGAAAAAAAGAAGAAAGAGAAGGAAAGAAGGAAAAGAAATGGAGAGAAAAGAGAAAGGAAAAAAGAAAAGGAAATTATTAAGAAAAAGAAATAAAAAAGAGAAATTGAGAATAGAAATGTAGAATTAGAAAGGATGAAAGAAATTTGGTTACTGCATGACCAATCCTATTTCTTTTCAAAAGACTGTGTGGAACCTAAAAAGGGAAGGTTTCCAAATCTTTACTTCTTTTCCAATAATTGATTACTTTTCAATTTTTTACTTCTCTTTCAAACCAATTGTCATGAAAACATTTTCAAAATATGACAATTCAAATCTTGAGTTATTGTTATCTTTAAGAAAACAATTAACTCAAGATGAAAAAATTGAAATTTTGGGACTTCTAAGATTTTCAAAAGATACTTAATCAATGTATATTATGAAAGTTCTTATTTTCTCTTGTTTTTTAAAGGAAAAAATCTTTCTGGGATTGGATATTTAACCTCCCCTTTTCGAAATATATTTTGATGTGTAATTGCAATTTTCGGGTTTGATCCAGGATGGGAGAAGAGGGAGGGGAAAACAGAAAGAAAAACTAAGATTAAAAAGAATAAAGGTAATTCTAAGATGGGCCCATTTTGCTCCCAAAGATGGTGTGGACTTCTTTTCACTTAAAGGCGGGATGCCAGATTGAGGACAAATATTTCTTTAAAGAGTGAGGGGCATTGATGAATTCCTAAGGGATTACTTAGTCTTCCTTTTGTTTTTTTACCTGTTCCTAGCTTAGCTCTTTCTTAAGGAGTTATGAGGTTACTATAAAACCCAAACTTCCTCTCTTTTGTATTGGCACTTTTGGAGATTAATGAGAATTGAGTGTTCTGGAAAAAATCAAGAAGAAAAAGGAAAAAAAAGGAAAAACGATTTCTCTCTTGGAAAAGTAGTCTAGGCGAGAGAGTCCAAAAAGGACTCCCTATAGGCCACTTTCCAAGCCAACCTCTCTCACTTTCATTTTCCAAAACTTTTCACGGTTCGTTGTTTCTCTCTATCATCCCCAAGCCATTAATCACCTTCTCCTTCAATCTGCTGCCGGCACGCGTCAAATGTTCCTTAAGCCAACGCGTTTTATGTTGTCAGATCATCTTCAACGCATCATTTTCCATTTTTCCACTCACGCATCTGCTAGGGTTTCTTCCTCTGAAACGCATCTGCTAGGGTTCCATTTCTCTCTTCACAGATTCACCTCTTCATCAACTATAAACCTTATTCTCTTCACAGATTCACATCCTTTTCACCATTTCTTCATTTTCACCGTTTGATCTAGCTTCTGGATCGATTAAAAACCTCTCCTCACCTTGTTTATCATGTTCCACCGATTAAACACCTTTTGTCACCGTTTAAAATTCATTTTCCACCGTTTAAACCTAGGTCTAGAGTTTCGTTGTGTGCACTCTCAGTTTTTTTAGATTTCTTGAGAGTCATTCTTCGATTTAGAGCTCCCTCTCCATTCCGCTGCGTCTTCACTCGTAGGAGAAGCTTCGAGGAGTCCGCGTCGCGCCTTTGGTCACTTCTCGGAGTCACTCGTCCATCAGAACCCCATCTTGTTACTAACACCAAACATATACCTTAAATTTGATAGAAGGAATATTAAGAGTCTAAGGATTTAAATTGTTTAAATTTACCTTCTACTGAATAAGCTTCTACTAAATAAGCTTTTAGGTTCTTTTGCCTTAAGTGTTTAAATTGTTTTCACTTACGTTAATATTATGTGAATATCTAAAATAAGGGAATCAAAACTAACATTTGCCCTATAATAGTCTATCTTAATTTCAGTTTTTAACTCCTATAGTAATCCATCTTAACTATATGAAAAACATTACTCTATCACTAGTTTTTTAATCTATATCTAATTTAATTACATTCTAATGTCAAAAATAATGTTGAATCAATATATAACTATTTAACTTTTCTTATACACATCAAATAATACATATAATGTTAATCCAATTTAAATCATATACTACATCAAACAAATACCATATATCAATCACAGATAAATGAAAATGCAAAGGGTTTTAAGAACTTACTGCGGCGGCAATAGACGACAACAAAGGCAGCAAAGTGGCGGCGGAGCAACAGGGATGATGGCGGAAGCAGCGCTTGAAGAAAATGCTCTTGTAGTTCGAGCGACTGATAGAGCCACCCAACTTGGACAACACTTCGTCAAAGACAATGGAGGCTTCGGTGGTGGATGAACTATGGCGGCGCGGCTTTTGACGCAGCGAAAGAAACACGATAGAAAACAAAATGGAGACCGCAAGAGAAAGAAGAAGAAGGAACGACAAAGCAAGTGCGAGCGCGCGACGGAGGCACGACGAGAAGCGACAAGGGAGGCGCGACGAGCAGGTGGTAGCAATGGAGGAGATTCACAGAGGAAGATGAAAGTTCGCGTGAGAAGAAAATTGTTTCGTGAATCTGGCTATGTAAAAACTCTATTGCCTCGGTTTTCAGTGAAACTGATGCCTAAAGCACTCAGTAAATTTAAATTTTAAAAATATTTTAACATTATAGGCATCGATTGACCGACTACCCGAAGCATAAACAAAGTATGGCATCGGTTAAGCTGAACCGAGGCAGTATTATATGACTTTTCATTAATTTGAAACGTTCTCTGGCAGATGTGTGCAGGTTGCTAGTAGGAGATACTGCCTCAGTTTTGTGCCTAACCGAGGCAGTATGCCTATTGACAGAGGTATTTGAAGGGATGGCAAAGGGTTTGGCAGGGATGGCAAAGGGTTTGGCAGGGATGGCAAAGGGTTTGGCAGGGATGGCAAACTTATATGCTTCGGTTCCCCATCCCAACCGAGGCAGTATCTCTACAACCAAAAAGGTGTTAACTGAAAGGTATGAGTTTAGTGTAACAGTTGTAGGGTTTATGCTTCGGTTGTTCATTTAACCGAGGCAGTATGCCTTTTAGGCATCAGTTCCTTGCTAATCGAGACATATAGTGTGGTGAAAATAACGAAACTGCCACCACGTTTTGATACGTTTCGGTTTCTTTGAAATCGAAGCGTAATCTAGGAGTTAAAAATACGATTTTTTACTAGTGGAGTCAATTACTCTTCATTTTAAGTATTGTTTGCTTTGAAAAGTAAAAAAAGAAATAAATATTTAAATTACCTTAAGCCTCTAACTCTTAAACAATATGAAACTGTTGCTTATTTGATTATTAACTGTTGTGTTATAATAATTTCATACTGAAAATCTAATATTGAAGTTTAGTAAGAATCAAATAATTAATTTTTATTGAAGTTTTGAAGTGTTTACAAAATTAACTTAATTACTTGAAGACCTAGTTGCTATTGTTAAAACTAGCAAGCGAATAAAGTACAATTATTATAAAATATTCAAGGACCAAGTTTTAAAAAAGTAATTAAAGACCAGTTTGCAATTATTGGAAAATATTTATGGGTCAAATTATAATTTCAAGAAACTTCAAGGATTTTGACGCAATTATAAAAGAATAATTTTAGGGTTAGAAAACTGTCAATTTTGTTCTTAAATATGTAAACTAAATTTTTAAGTAAAAATGAAAGCTAAAGATAAATAATAGTTAATATTACTTTCCATATTATGCAGAGGGTGTTTCATGGGTCTCTGGCAATTTGTGCCATGCGCAGGGAGTTGGAACTTGGAGAGACACTCTAGATCCAGTAGTCACCCAAGCAAACTATGACAATGTTTTCTTCATCGGACAAGAGACAAGGACAATAGTCACCTCACAAGGATATACTTCTTTGGTCGCCTCTACTCAGAAGAAGAACTCCCTCCTCATTTCACATTGTACCTTCCAATGCAGGTTACAAGTCTGCATAAGTACAACTACTTTTTTCATACATTTCAAATTGTTCCTATAATAACTTTTGCAATTGCTTTAAATATAAAACATGTCAGCTTTAAGATTAGAACTGTTTGAAATTTCACCAGATGTGGACAGTTACACACCAACAAAGACATGGATATTGAATCATCTCTTATGTCCAAACCAATTTTAAAATCTTGAATACACTGCTCCTGATTGGCTACTCTTTCAATCTAATTCCATAGAAACACTTTTCAAAAGTTAGATGACAATTATGCACATCAGAAGACTTTAAGGATCTACTAAACATAAGCATTGTCATCCAACATCAAAAGAGAATAATAAGACTTTAAAAATTAAAAGCTGATGCCTGAAGAAAGTGGTGAACTAGAGATTAAATTTCATCTCCAAAGTCCAAATCACTTTTAAAATCTTGTACCATCACACCTCCTTATTAAATATATGACTCAGAATGTATCCTGAACTACAACTCAGAATCTTGTAAGTACATTGGTTAGCATTACTCTCTTCAGATGTCCATCTATCAATTGGATTGGTTGAATTGAATGTGTCTGCAAAAGCAAAGTTCAAGGAATTTTAAGTAATTTTAAAATATATTTTTCTGCAAACCAAGAACTAATTTCTTAATAGAAAAATCTGATGGTTTTGCGTTATGTATGTCGGTAAAATGTAAAGAATGCAAATCAGAAACTTGTCAGTAATTCGTATATGACAGTTTCTTATAGCTATATAAGTATGAGCAATGAAGGAGGAAACAGAGCAGGTGAGTAAAAAGCTTTACCCAACAACTGGATGATTGAAACAATGGCCACTCCCAACTACTGAGAACAAAATTGGCGTAAGAAATTTCATACTTTTCCCCCTTCACCATGTTCCTCGTTCCCTAAATATAAGCATTGTCATTAAACTACAAAAGAGAATATCGACAATAAGCATGGAAAGACGAAAAGTTGACGTGTGAAGAAAGTGGTAAACTAGATACTAAATTATTTGCACTAAATAAGAATGTATTTGAAATGCATCAAAGATATTATGGAGAGTTGGCACCTGAGGAAAATGTAGGCATACGAGAATTGGTGACTTAGTAATTTCCAACGTGTGCTTTGTCTTATATCAATACTCGTACACTATCAATATGATGAACCAGTATTTTCTATTTTTCATCGGCATTAATATCAACCAGTATAGTTTTAATGTGAGCAATCTTTTCCCAGTCTTTACCTTCTTGTTTCTTGCAGCGCTATTTGAGCAACGGACAATTCTCAATTACGAGTAGTGAGATGGATTTGGGCAGACCCTCCTCTGGCAAGTATTGGAGTATAGGACAGTCAAGAAGAGTCAAATTCTGAAGAGAGGAGAGTTGACAGAGTCCCCTGAAGTCGAGTTTCTTAAGATTTGGACAATCAGATATCTCTAGATAACTAAGAGAAAGTGGGAGCAAACCTTCACCCGGAAAACACTCCACATCCACATTGCCAATATCCAAGACTTTTAAGGAATGGTTGGTTCCCCAAGCCCCCTTTAGGGAGGCCACAAGTTTGGAGCAATGCAGAAGCGACATTTTTTTTACATTTGATGGCAAACATCCCTCGGACAATTCCACCACTGGACAACTGTGTATGTACAGCTGATTAAGAGATGGAAGAAGGGCAGACATGCATTTAGGCATTGACTTCAATTTCTCCAATCCTTTGATAGAAAATGTCTCTAGCTGAGGTGCAAATAATCCATCATTGGGAAATGATTCAAATTGAGGACACTTTTTAATTTCCAAACTCTTCAAATGACCATGAGTGTGTCCCTGCGATATCATCTGTAGGTTATGACACCTGTTTAACGAAAGGTGGGAGAGCTTTGGAAACAAGTCCAAGGAAAAGTTCGTGAGAGAGTCACAACATTTCTTGATATTTAAATCTACAAGGAAATAGTAGCAATGGTTTATGGGAATATTCCTACCCGGACAAAAATCAATATACAAGAATTCAAGCGGAGTATCAGACACGAGGGGCCCTATCATATCAAATGAAGATGGCTCCATCTTCACACCTTCCATTTCTATTGCCAGGGGAATCGAAGCCCCAAGTTGTTCACAACGTCTAATAGACAGTCTCTTTAGAAGAGAAAGTTGTTCTGGCAAGTTTCCTTTCAGCTTGGGACAATTCATCAGAGAAAGACTTTGAAGACATGGAAAAGCACCCTTCATGCATTGCCATTCTTCCCATTCTTTCATATTAGTAAAGCTCAATATTTCTAAGGATGGAAATGCAGAAGAGCTATTCCCGTAAAAATCAGCATCTATCCTCAGTATTTGATCAAGGCCATCTATTGCCAAGTGCTTGAGAAATGTCAATAGTCCGAGGGAAGGCAACAGTAGGCAATATTTACAGTGCTTCAAGGTTAAGGACACAACATTCGATAGAGAATTATCATATAGCCAACGGGGAAATTGTGTGCCACCATAGCCATCGATTGACAAGTACTTCAAATGTCTAGAAGGTTGCAAATTCTCAAGTACTTCTCTTTGTTTCATTGAATCGGCATTGTTCTCCTTCAAATTCCATTGTAAACTCAGCCTCACAATATGTCTTTTATTCTTCAAATTCATCTCGTAGGGATTTGCGATATTTTCAAGACTTTTAATTGACAGCCTTCCATGAAGATCAAGTTCTCCTAATTGTCGAATACTGAACTCACTATTTTTGCCAACCTCAAACATGCCCATCCACACGTGAAGATTCTTCAACTTTCCTAAATGGGGTAGAGCCTTTATTAAAGTATTTCCCATCAGTTCAAGGCGGCGCAAATTGGTGAGCTCATGCAAAGTCAAGGGCAGCTCCTTCAAACGCATGCAATCGTTTAGCTTCAACTCTTGCAAGTTATAGAGTGAACAGGTTGAGTCAGGAAGTCTCTTTATGTTGGAATTTGAAAGGTCTAATAAGCGGAGGTGTATAAGATCGCCTATACTATCAGGCACCGTAAAACACCAATGCAATGATAAGACTCGTAAGAACTTACAGTTGGAGATTAACTCTTCTATTGAAATCTTACGATCGCAGGACAAGGTTATAAATGTCCGTAACCCTTTAGCATCACATAAACTCGTATCACATTGAATAGGACCGCTTTCATATGATAAGTGACGGGTCTTCCTTGATACTCTTTTTTCATCATCAACGCCTAACCTGTAGCAGATTTCACCTGAAACATATTTTGCTAAATCATTGAGAAGGTCGTGCATGACAAAATATGTTTTTTTGTTCCTAATTATTTGTTTAAAGAATGACCTTGATACTAGATCATTGAAGTAGTTTTCACCTACTTCTTCTAGAGACTTACTTTGTTGAGAGCAATATAGAAAATTTTGAGCCATCCATAAGAGAATTAAACTCTCCTTGTCAAACCTATAGTCTTTGGGGAATATTGCACAATAAGCGAAACATCTCTTGAGATGAGAAGGAAGATGGTAATAGCTCAGCAACAAAGTAGGGACGATTTTACTATCTTCTATTGGTAAGTCCCATATCTCGCTTGTCAATACACCTTCCCACTCTGAAACAGATGACTTTGACTGTAAAAGACATCCTATTGTTTCAAGGGCCAGAGGCAATCCTTGGCACTTTTCAACTATCTTCATGCCAATCTCCTTTAACTCCGAATTCAACTTAGAGTTTTCATCTTGGAATGCATGTTTAGCAAAAGTTTCCCAGCTGTGATCTTCATCTAATTGCTTTAGTTGGAGTATGTAGGTTGACTGCATGATAGAAGCAACTTTGTGACTGCGTGTTGTGACTATAATTTTACTTCCTTTAGCTCCAAACGTAAGAGGTGTTTGTAATGCTTTCCATTGGTTTCGGTCTTCGTTCCAAACATCATCCAGAACAAGAAGAAACTTCTTTCCGGGCAACCATGTTTTCAATTTTCCATGAACCATTTCTAGGTCTCCACTGCCATATATTGAGTTAGTGAAAGCTCCAATAATTGTTTTGGATACTCTCAAAGCATCAAATGCATCAGAAACGCAAACCCAAGCTTTTTCATCAAAGTTAGCTTCCTCTGTCTTTGGATCATTGTATACATGTTGAGCAAGTGTGGTCTTACCCATCCCACCCATACCCACAATAGAAAGTATTGACAGCTTATTATCATTAGTGTCAGATGTCAGCCAGCTAAAGATAATTTCTTTGTCCTTATCTCTGCCATAAATAACCTCTTCAGCCACCAACGACGTTGATTCAACTTTTTTCTCCGACACCTTATTACCAAACCCAGATCTATCGCCACTGTAAACTTTGAGATTTTTAACAATCTTTTGGTTCAAAAGATATTCTAGATCATCTATGAGTGCTATGATCTTGGATTCAAAACTGTGGACCTTGCTAGAACTGGTCTGGAATTCAGCTTTCAACATAGTCTTGGAGAATTCATAGTCTATTTGCTCCAGCAGATCTTCTGCATCATACAAGACGTCTCTAACCTCATCAATCCATTCTTTGACCAATGAATTACTGAACTGCTTTTGTTCTGCATCATCTATCACAGCATTGATGTCCATCAAATTCCTCTTCAACTTTTTCAGCAGCTTCTCGTCGAGATTTCTCCCTCGAAAGTAGTGCAAAACTTGATGAGAATCCAGCTTGTCAAATATCATCTGAAGAACAGCACCAAAAAGAGCACCACCAAGTGTTTCAAGGACAGGCATGGTTGGAAAGGAAGTGGCAAAATTGAGGAGAAGAAAGGATTGAGAAAATGGGAAGTGCAGCTAAGTTACGTGAATGAAGGACTGACAAAAGATAATGAGTGAATATTGTGAAAATTGGAAGCATTTACTTCAATAAAGGAATGTGGCGGGGAAGCAATTGCTGTTGACTATTTCCGACAGCACAACGTGGGTTTGGTAACATGTGGAATATCAACTTTGCTTTATTTTCTTTTTTCCTTTACTTTAACGAAATTTCTACCAACTTTGGTGAACAAGTCTATTTCGGTGGCTTGCTTTATTAAATAAAGAAAACCGAAGTACTTATATCTTACATGAGAAGAAAGGATTGTGAAAATTGGAGTGGAGGTAATGCAGAGTTAGGTTGAGATCTATTTTCTTCATAATATCTTTACTTCAATATCTGTTATTGACTCTTGTTGACCACACAAATTGAAGTTTCAATACCTGTTTTACATTTTTATATTTCTCGAGTTAGCTCAAATTTATTTAAAAAGATTAAGCAATTAACAAGATAATAAGTGTTGTCAAATGGATTGTAATATGCGAGTCAACCCAACCCAGTTTATCATGGGTTTGAGTTGAGTTGGATTTGAAAAAAATGTAATTTTTTTTATGCTGGTTAGCTCATTTAGAACCTGGCTCATCTGGGTTGACTCATCAACCTACCTAATTTAATTTAATTATTTATCATTTTATGTTTCAATATTATTAATTAGTATTTTTTTATTATACTATGTAGATGAGGATAAAAAAAATTAGGTTTCAAGAGAGAGAAATATTATAAATTTATCTATTCAAGACTCAAATATTATAAATGAACAAGTGATACAAAAATTATCAATATTAAAACCTTATTTGTTCACTTTTTGTGCTTGTTTTTTTTATCGCGCTTGGATTGTATGATATTTTTTTTTATTTTGAATTGTCTTTGGAGTTTAACATCATTTTAGAATGAAATTTATTTATTTGAATAAAAAAGTTATAATTTTTTTTAATTTTGAAAAAAAACTTATAATTAAGTGTGAACCAACCTGTTTACCCACTCATTCGTATTGTTATACATAAATTCATATTCAAATAATGACGGAAGGATAACATTTAAAACATTAGTACGATAATTTCATTTTAATATATATAAATGAATTTATTCATAAAATGTAATACAAAAATGATTCTTTGACACGGTTAAACCAAATAACATTCATTTGACACGCGGTGGGCCCCGGAAACTGTCAACATCATGAAGGATAGCTTGGTCATTTGACATTATGGGCTGGTGCTGAGTTGGCAGGTAAAAAAGTTAAATGAAACGTTGCGTTTCACTGTGTGGCTTAGGATCTGTGTGGGATTTCAAATTTCGAAACGCTCGAGTTAACTTGCTGGCTTAGGATCGTGTGTG